GGAAGAAGCTTGGAACCGATCCCTCTCCCTTTCCCTCCCTCTCTGCCCCGATCGCCCTCCTCACGCCCGTTGTCCGCGGGCGGTATCGCCAGACATTATGGTACATACGCGTATACGCGGCATTACACGACTCCCTCCTTCACTCTGAGCGCCCCCTCCTTCTCCCGCTCCTCTCTCCCCGTCGACCCGCGCCATCGCCACAGTTATAATTCCGCGGTGCAAACGCCATAATCTAGTCACCGTATCCCCCGGCATCTCTTTCTCGAACGATACCGCTTTTATAATGCGTGAGGTACGCCGGCCGCGATCGTTCCCTCGGATTATCGTCGATCGATACCGCCAATCCTAGGTGAATCCTTCTTGCGTGATGCCCAATCACGTGCCTCGCGTCGAAAGACGTTTCGCGATCCGATAAAACGGGTGCCTCGACGACGGCCCTCATTAAAGCAAAATCTTGCACGTCGAGGAATATAATTGCGTAGCCTACTGGATCGGTGCTAAACGAGGGGAAGTAAAATGCACCTTTAATGCATTCACGTAAATATGTAGCGAGAACATTCCGCTCGGACTTCGCGTAATTCATGACATCAACATCGATACACGGTACTCTTTCTAAGCTAATAATTATAACTCGATGCCGCGATATAACGTGGCAATGATCGTCGAAATGTACTGAAATTACTAAATTACAAATTAACAGTGCAATTTCATCCGATTCCCCTTTTAATATTGTAACTGCTGGTAACAGACGAGTGCTGCGAGCGTAACGTTCGCCCACAACTTTGCCCATATCTTCGACGGATATTTTCATAATTTTTTTAAACCAATACAAATTTAGCTTTTGCAGACGCGAAGAACGCGTTGCGTTCGCATTACGCAAATTGATAAAAAAAAATCCTAATTCCAATTCTTGCCTTCTAGGATGTAATAAAAAATTCAAGATCTTCCGAGTTCTTCTTAGAATGAAAAATGTTGGTGTTTGTTTAATGCGACAATCTGACGATTCAGTTCGATGTCATCTGTATAAACGACATTGATACGTTATCGCATATTCAGAGTGAGCGAGGTACGAGGTGAAGAATAGGGGTAACAAAGAGCATCGGGACAAACGAAGAACATCTGCCAATCTGACATCACCTGCCTCGGCTCGCCTATTTCTAGTCCAATTTATCACGCATTTCGGTAACGCTAGGAAGAATGGAAGGACGACTAGCGGCGTCGACGCGTCGACATTAGAGGCGTATGGCGTCGAACGGCTTTGTTTTCGCAGGGCCTGGCCCTAATTAAACGATAGCATCTTAATTGTCTCCCGACTATTCTAACGCGGCGATTCATGGCCGTTCCGTAGGGTAGAGCGCCAAGTTTCGACTGCTTTCTTATATTGCCTCGTCATGATTCCTGTTTGTACGTAAGCCAGAGATCTATGAGAGATTAAAATTATTTATAATGAATTCCTTCAGGATTCACGCTGTATTTTTGAAATTACATTATTTTTATCTTTGCGACTTATTAAAAATAATTACAAATTTAATGAGCAAATAAAAGTTAGCCATCTTCTTTTTTATGACTAAGAAACTATCGTAAGAAAATTATCTTCTGTCGATGTATCGAAAAAAATTTTTTTATTCTGCTCGACATAAACATTGATTCGTTAAATTGTGATAACGTAGTAATGATCTTTCAAGAGTTTATAAATCTTTCGAGATAGAAAGGCGGTATTGAAAACGATAAATATTTAACGAAGTGAAGTAAGACAAGTTAAGAACGAACATCGATGGATCTACGAGCGTAACAGCGAAGCGATACACCACGAAGCCTGACGTAATTATAACTTTGGAGAAAGTCGAGGACGATCACAGGTGGCTGATGAGTGTTCAATAGTGGAAAAGGGAAGCGCATGACATAACGCAGCGGGAAGAAAGAACGGCGGAGGGCACGAGGGAGGAGAGCGAGGACGATTCGGCAGAGGGAAGAGGCTCCGATGATGGGAGTTAAACGTTCCCCGAAGAAGCGACCGCGAAGAGAGTCGACGTACCGTGCCCTTTTGTTTGTCGCGACGTTTCGCTCGAAGGTCCCTTTGTATCCCTCGAATGGAAGGTAGGAGGCATCCGCGGTTCCTACATGGCCCACATGGCGAACCCGGCCGCGTTTATTCGACACGAAATACGCAAGATGCGCGCAATTATGGCCTCTCAATTATCTCGTACGCGTCTCGTTATTTATTGAATATCGTGCCTGCTTATTACACAGACGAGTTTGCGTGCCGCGGTAAGAGGGTGTCCCTCTCGAGGGGCGGCGAGGGGATAGGGCAGTGAGAGCGCGGTTCGTTCTTCTTGTGTTTTTTTTTCCTCTCTTCGCAAATTTCGACACGGCACGACGTGTCGGGGACGCATTGTTCGGCCTGATACCGAAAACCGGAAGTCGTCGAAATTCCACGTCGCGCGAATCAAACCGCAGACTTTCGCGTGCTCCAAAAACGGCGCATTCACGTCAGAATAAACAGACGCATTACTAGAACATACTGCATCTCGAAATGACTTTGAAATTATTATGAAAATCTGATTATCAAGTGGATATATTATATAGAGTTTTCGTTGTATCGTAAGACGCGATACGTTTCCTTTGATAATCCATAACGCGAATGAATGATTCCTCCGTCAATTCCAAGTTTTATTCGCATTCTCTCGAGGCGATCGTTGAAAATTGCATCTCACCTTAATTAGCTGCAGCGGAGAACTTTCTGTACTTTTGTCGCTTCTCAAATCTCGACGCTATAACATGTCAAGATGCATTACGATACGAGCGGCTGCTACGTATTTTTAAAAGTATAGTTATCTTACTTTTTATTTTTTTAGAAAGAAACAGAACAGGTTTAGAGAAGGAGACCCCCCGTACCGAGTATTAGATCGCGTCAATCGCCAAGTACAACGACGCACCGCGGCTCCGCGGTATAATTAACCGGGACCATATTTCTCTTATTATTGTTATTACGCGGCTGGACGTGGCTTTCCACTTAATGTACGCGGGCCTGATAAGAACTATCCACGGACGACGACTACGTTTCAGCTGACGCATACGAAGTCACGCGGAAACGCAGGCCGGTGTCGCGGGCGCGAGTCGCATGCGTATGCGCTCCGTGGTT